TTGCATTCGTGGTTGTTCTGAATTCCTGAAATCAGCCTATGTCTTGCTTGCTATGGTGTTTGTCTTATTTATATGGTAATGCATATTTATTGGTGCGGATTGACTCAGCAGTGTGTTTGTGCGTCTGTGGGTAAACATGACTCTCCTTCAGCTCATTTTATGGAAATATAATTAGCCTCTCCAAACTGCAGTGGGGTTCGAACATACAGGTCTCTAAGATTTGCTAATGATGTCTTTAATAACTCCCTTGTTGTCAAGCATGAAGTGTCTGCACGTGCTGCTGTTTGGAAAAGCCCATTCTTGGGAATTACATCTTATAGCACGCCCACCGTCATGCTCCCCTGGAACCCCGGGTATGTATTAACCCGTTGGACTGCTGCCAGACACTCAGCCTGATCAGGGTGGCAATAAATACACATGTCACGGTTTATATGTGGATCCTGGGAAGACTTTTTATATGTGCCCGGCTTTGTAGAGTAACTGAATTTGATGTCCCTTAAGCCTAATTACTACAAAGACACTGTAACGCAACACAGAGATTGATATTTAGAAAAGGCCGATTAGAACTGCATTGTAACATAGATCTTTAGGTATTTGTTAGAAAGATAGCTTGGTTGTATGCAGGAAGCATTTATTCAAAAGAATCATGGCTGATGATTATTTTTTATTTTAAAAAAAATCATCTTTAAATGATGCTATAGTCAACTGATTGAGCTTGGGAATTTTTCTGTCAAGCTCTTTAGAAAAGCTATTTATGCATAAAGCGACAAATGTTGGAAATGTTTCAGTTCCTACAAAGATTCTTTTTAATGACTTTACACATGTTAATTTGTGTTTCTGACTTATTTTATGTAATACCAGATCTGAATTATTACCACTTCAGATGTTTTCCAACATTTATCCATTCTTTTTCTATATCTGCTCCATCTAGCCAGGGTTGTGAGGTGGTTAGTGCCTATTGACAGAAAACACTGGGCCAGAGCTGAAATACACTCAGGAAAGGATGCTAATCATTCCACAGCATATGCTTTGACAAGTAACCTTGGATTTTACTGCACATTATTGGCAGTCTCGCCCGGAACGTTAGCTGGAGATAGGCACCAGCACCCCTCCCGACCCCACTGAGGGACAAGGGTGTTCAGAAAATGGATGGATGGATGGATTATTGGCAGTTGCCAGGTGTTTTAATAAGACCTTTCTGCCTTTATTTAACAAGACTGTAATTTCCCATTAACATCCTCTGAGAAAAAAAAAATCTAAAATTGATTTCAACACTTGATTCCAAATTTATATATCAATCATCCACAACTACCATCATATGTTCAAAATGATGTGCATAATGACAGGACCTCCAAAGAAAAACATAATATAACTCTTGCTTTTAGTACAGAAAAAGGAAGAGGGACATTAACTGGTGGGTCAAAAATAGCTAATATTAGTTTTTTTTTTTTTTCCCAGCAAACCTTGATCAAAACAAAGATGAATGGGTGAATAGTCGTGTCTTTAAACAAGACAGAGTTAATCTGTAATTAATGTCATGACTTCTGTTCAATTTTTAGGTTGTAGTTTGCTAATCTAACACACACTATGAAGCAGTCTGATAATGGTATCAAGTTGATCTCCCATACAACATAATAGTTTTAATCTTCCACAGGCTGTTACATACACAAGCACAATATGTTGGTTCTAATTGATCTAATTGATTTTCTCAGAAATGAATAACCTTGGCTTTCTACAGCTGCTTTTGTAGTGCAGCCTAATGCAAAACCCTGAAATGAATAAAGGTGTAGAGATTCAGTTATTCAAATTTCTTACTAATAATTCTGCTCACTGCTGTGCAATTACAATTATTGTATGTGTACAGAAACACTGAGTAGCTCCACTCAAGCATATCATCACTGGCCATTATACAGTTAGGTTTTATTACCATGAAACACATTCTCAGCTCTATACAGTAGTTCACTGAGTGTCCACATTTGTAAATCTACTGACTTCATGTGTTCGTAGTATACTTGGCACCTGGTTCTTAGTAACTTTTGTTTATATATTTTGCAAATGTTGCAAAATATGTAAATAAGTCTTGAAAAATGTACCTACCCAGGAGAAAAGTGTTCTGGGGTTTGACCAAAATACTGATTGATTCAATAAGCTTGTTCACAAATTATGGTTTCAGTTTTATATAATGGGGCTTAGTGTTTTAACATCTTTGAAAACTGTATAGTCCAAAGAATTAGATTATGCATAGCTGTCCTCTGTATGCTAAGGGGTTAATACACTCAAAATTGACATTTATTACCCCTTTTACAGGTAGGAAACATTCCACTTCATTTGACAGAGGTCAGTCCAGCATTATGGAGAATTCATTTATGTTTCATTTAAAGCTGACCTTAGCAGAAGCAGTCTCAAGGAGTTTAAGGTGAATTCATTTGAGCTTTACATTTTGCTGACAGGTGAATAAATCTTTCTCTGGCAGGTGTATAAAACATATCAAAGAAAAATGTAAAACAGTTTGACTCCAAAAAGGCACATTTGAATGCAGAGAGTCCTGACCATACGTGTTTATAAAGCCGCCCGTTGCCGTGGTTCCTGATTCAGCCACCAAAAGAGCAGCAATGCAACACTTTATTGTCTCTTAAGGAAGATGCATATGTCCAAAGTTTGACATGGCATTTTGAAAATAAAAACATCTCATTTGTTTGTAGAAAAAAAGGCAGCTCTGACAGAAAGATTTGTACAGCCATGGTAGAAAGAGCATCCATTTGTGAGTACAGAGACAGCCCGACACACACACAAACGCTGAAGCTGGGAGCAGAAGCAGAACGCCTGGCAGACAGAAGGACAGAATCGAACGGAGAGAACCCACTGAGCTTTCGGAAAAGGAATAAGTGGGTTGGCAGCTATTGGTAAGCAGTGCAGTAGAACAAGGAGGATAAAGAGAGAATTTTAAACTCATCTTGTGTCACTCCTGATCCTCTACCCTGTCCTCTTTAGCTGCTAAATTTCTGGACTGCCTTCTTTCATGCCTGTTGACGTGTCATGCGTAATTTGAGCACAGCCTTAGGCAGAGATTCTTCTTTCTCCCTATTAGCTTCTTTAGAAATTCGAGCAAGCGGGCTGGTAGTTCAGTGAAAGGCAAGTCTCATCCTTTGAGATTTGCCAGCCGAAGGACAAGCTGTTTAAGTGCTCCCAAATCCACTTAACCTCCAACATCTACCTGTCTGTACCAACAGATCCTGGTTCGTCTTATAGCAGTGGTGTTCAGGGAAAAAAGTAAGATTCTCAACATTGATATAAAATACAATTAACAAAAATTTAGAGGTGGAACAATACAGGAAATTCCTTGGATACCAATAAGTCAGAAGATAACAGTTTAAGATTACTACCAAAATTATCTATAACTGGTACAAGAAGTCCTGAGAATTCTTCTTTAAAGTCCCTTTTTCCATCTCTAGTGGCCTGTATTTGACCTCGGTCAGAAAGGAAAGCGGGTGGTGAGAGAGAGGGAAGACATGCGGCAAAGGTCAACGGGCCAGGACTCGAACCTGTGACCGCAGGACTAGCGCCTGGGTCGCGCCCTTCACCCCTATGCCATTGCGCCCATGACAAAGGTCTTCCATGTATGTTGGTGCTAAACCTTTCAATGATTTATAAACAAACAAAAGTATTTTAAAGTCTATTATCTGAGCTGCAGGAAGCCATTGTAAGGACTTTAGAACTAGGCTGATCTGCTATTTTTTCTTAGCTTTAGTGAGAATGCGTGCAGCACCGTTCAGATCAGCTGCAGCTGTCTGACTTTTGTAGGCAGAACTGAGAAGGCACTGTTGCAGTAATTACTTCAAGTCCCCAAAAAAAATCAAAATCCTGGAAATGTTCTTCAGGTGACAAAAGGCCGACTTTGCGCCATAAAGAGAGGTGAGGAAAATGAGTGGCAAACAAAAAGCCTGTTAGGAGGGATGAGGAGAATGAGAGGGATTGTCAGAATATACTTGTGCTGGAAAAGAGTGCGATTATGTATAAACTAGCCAAAATGATTGATGTCTTTGCTTCTTGGCAGAAGTGAGGGTAAGAGCAACTAAACAAGACTGAGCTCCATGTAGAGGACAGGGAGTTGTCTCTGCAGACAGAAGTCACTTCAATGGAGACTAATGAGCGTAACAAACTGCTTTTATCAGTAAATCTCTTTAAACTATTGCACTGGTGACCATGGTGGTAGTGAGAAGAGTTGCTGAATTAGGAACTTAAACAATACCATGAATACTTTTTTGACAAATCCTTCATGGGGAGTTTTTTTTTCCATACAGACTCTCAAACTACCTGCAGTCTGCATAATCTTGCTGGTCATGTTTATTGTTCTTGATGGATTTTCATGCTGCTGTGTGCGTCGTACAAGTAACTCTGCAGGCAATTTTACCTCCTCAGCATTCTCCACAGACTCGGCACACACAAAAGCTCCCTCACATCCGTGACAGATGGGGCTCTTTGTGGCAAATTACAAGCAATTTTCTATCATTTAGTGTCAGGTTTCTATCAAGACCAACAAGAATGACTTTTGGTGTGTTTTCTGCAGAACTTTAAATTCATTAATTCATAGCTGTCAGGACAAGATACCTGACTACCCTACCTGTATTTATTTTTTGTTGACTTTTGCATAGTAGTGTATGTTGGTTGAATGTTGGTTGTGATCTTTTTTGTTTCTTGAGCCATTCATACAGCTTGATTGAGTTATTGACAGAGACTGATTATGCTGGCATCTTTGTAACACTCATTTTTACCATTTTAGCTTTTAGGGTGGACAGAGGCACACGCTCAAACACCCACAGTTTCCCTCATTGTGTCCCATACATAATTAAACATCCGGCTTCATACAGCTCATCCTTTCTAAAATGTAAGTTGATTGCTGGACATTACATATTTAAAACCATTTGTGCAGAGAGATTTCTGAACTGTGTCTGTTCTTGTGTGGTCTCGTGTTCACAAAGCCTGTTGTCAGATTTACTCACTTGTGCGACTTCTTGCCCTCCATACCCCCAGGGCCTGAACCGCAGTCATGAGCTTGGATGATGAAGGTGTACTCCTTTTGCAACTCGCAGTCCACCAGGCCGCGTGCCCTCAGCTGACCCTCGCCAGACGTTCCGTTCAGCACCACTGCCTCAAACGGAGCCTCCAGCCCATGGATGTTGAACGCACAGATCTCCCCTAGAGAGCAGAGAGAGAGACACAGAGAAGGAGAAAGAGAATGAAAGAGAGAGAGAGCAGATAAACGGATGAGTTGAGAGTTTATCACAGTCTGTCAGCTTGAGAGGGGTTGAGGAAGTTTAAGAAACTCATGCAGCCACTTCTTAGTTCAAGCCCAAGCTTTTAAAGCCACGGGTTATTGGATATGTGGTGATGAAGACTCTGGAAAACTAATTACTGACTGACCTACTGTTCAGATTAATTTATTGATATGACGGTTAGTTGCTGTCCAGAGTGATGAACAACATTCTGGACACTTGGTGCCACTTTGGTGCCTCCGTTTCTTTTTTGAACCCATTTATCCTTGCAGGGTTGTTTATCGATCATAAGGCAACACAGAAATGCAAAACAAAAAAAACAATCATGCACACCAGTGGTGGGAAGTAACGAAGTACA